GGATTGAGGAGATCCTTGAAGTATTCCTTCCACCGTCCGACAATGTCCCCAGTTGAGGTCAACAGCTGCCCACCTCCACTGTAAACAGTTTTGGCAGGGCACTGTTTCCCCCTCCTGAGGCGCCGGACGGTTTGCCAGAATCTCTTCGAGGCCGCCCGATAGTCCTTCTCCATGGCCTCACCGAACTCTTCCCAGGCCCGAGTTTTTGCCTCCACAACCGCCTGGGCTGCAGCCCGCTTGGCCTGCCGGTACCTGTCAGCTGTCTCAGGAGTCCCACGAGCCAACCAGGCTCGAAAGGACTCCTTCTTCAGCTTGACGGCATCCCTTACTTCCGGTGTCCACCACCGGGTTCAGTAGGTTTTCATATTACTATTTTATAGCCTACTTGTTCAGTCCCCATCTCTGAAAATGTTCCTTTACAATTGAACGCATAATTGGATTGTATTCCGATGCAATATAATTTCTAAATGAATGATAAACTGCATTTTCCTACAAACACAGATAGAACAAGAAGCAAGTGGGGAGGGTGGTGACTTAGGGCAATTCACCCTCACTAAATTACACCTAATAATCATTTCTCCTGCATCATGTACTGTAGGATATTGTGCAGACCCTTGTTCCAAGCCTTCTTTGAGGTTACATCATGTTAACACTGGATGAAATAAACAACTCCAATACTCTTTGTTTTTAAGGCATCACACATCAAAATTAAACCAACATGGCGTCTGCTTTGCAGTCAAATGTTCATCTTAAAATTAATTCATTCCCAGTAGTGGTGCTGTGTCCATCTTGACCACCTTGTTCCTATTGGTTTCACTGTGTAAAGTGTGAATCCATGTGCAACAGCTCAGCTGTCTGTGTGCGGAAAAACATCAATTCCGCAAAGTGATGGACGAGTCTGTAACTGCAAGTGGCTCAGCTACAAGTGGCCGAGTTATTTTTTGGACTATATGCCATTTGACAGTGTTCTTATAATGTTTTAAGGTACTGCAAATACTGTAATGACTACAGTCAGATGAGGTGAAAGATTATATGTTCCTGTTTTAAGCAGGCCTATGAAGCAAGGCAAGCTTAGTTATATACCACATTTTTATACACAAAGGCTATAGTCTGAAAATCCTACAGTATAATAACCCATCAATGAAAATATGGATGAAGCTGCTCATTAACTTGACATGTCCTTGCAAAGGTCACAGGTCTATTAATGCTCCACACAAAAGGAGTGAAAGGTAGACTGTTTTTGATAAGCCAAGAAATGTGTAATGTCTACAGTTTTCATAGTCTGTACAGTTGTGCAGTGTGTGCCCAGCTCAAATGTGTGCACTCACATTCAGATGGCTCTCAGTGGTAATAAGCAGGAAGACCTTTAGCCTTGTAGCGGCCTTCTGCTATTCTGGTGGTTAAATGCCAGAGAGCCCTGTCTAAGACCCAGGCTGGACGCAGATGAGGAGAGTTCACCAGGTTGTAACCACACTCAGGATGTTTTCTTATCCACACACTGTTAGCAGCTGTAAGGAAAAGAGGTGATCAAAATCACCACCATTTATTTGTTTTAAGTGATTAAACTGTTTCAGGTACAATGAATGCTGGAACACAAACTTTAAAATTGTTGGTAATTAGGATGAGTAAGAAATGAATGATGTAGTGAATTATTTTCACAGATGGGAGAAGTTTAACATCATTTCTTGGACTGAAATGCCTGTCAGTTCTCCACTGAAAATGGAGTAATGACAGGGATGCTAAAATTTTACTTACCACAACCTGTCCTAAACTAGAGTTCAGTTAAACCTGCACATGCGTGACAGTTTTCAAATCCAAGCTGGATACATGTCACTTACAAAACATAAATGTGATCCATTAACACAAAAGGATCAGACCTGACAAAAAAGACTGAAACTGAATACTAATGCCTGTAATGTGAATACAGCTTTATAAACTGTATTCAGTAGAATACAGCATACAGTCACAAAAAAGGTAGTGACACTGTCTGCAATTTTCTGATCCTCACAAAAGTCACAAATATCAACAAACACAATATTTATAAGTTGTTAAAACAGTCACGATTTTTCATGTCTTTATTGAACATACCCATTAAGCATACAAAGTGATGGTGGAAAAAGTAACAGCAGCTCTAGGCTTCTGATGTTCCTAAATGTCAACTGGAGTCAGGTGTTACAGACGTAGGCATTCAAAGCATCATACTTTTTTGACGTGCTGTGTAGTGCCCTGCTGGTGGCACTGTGTCAGTAATGAGGTATCTGTAACCCTGCATGAGGCTCATAAAATCCAACCTGCACTTCTACTTTTTGCCTACTATACTATCCATCAACAGTACAGGGTTCTGAATTGCCACACCACGCAGTATTTTTATCATACAAGTACTGCTTATAATCTGTTACGCTGGATTTTACGTCTCTAGCCAAAGATCTATTAAACATGGTTAACACAGCACCATAAGTTACTGCCATGCAGTAGTGAACACCATGTATAGTTTGCTGCAGAGAAGCAGACAACTTCTTTGGAAACACTCATTTTAAATCTGTTTAAAAGTAAATCTTTTAAAAGTAATTGCCCCATAAACCTAAAAACTGGTTGTGCCACCCTCAGCAGCAACAACGCAATCAAGTGTTTGAAATAACTGGCAATGAGTCTTTCACATCGCTGCGGAGCAATTTTGGCCCATCTTTTTGCAGAACTCTTAATTCAGCCACACTGGAGGGTTTTCGAGCACAAACTGCTTTTTTAAGGTCACACCATAGCATCTCAATCAGATTCAAGTCCGGACTTTAGCTAGGCCACTCCAAAACCTTCATTTAATTTTTTTTAGCCATTCAGAGGTGGGCGTGCTGGTGTGTTCTGGATCACTGTCCTGCTGCAGAACCCAAGTGCGCTTCAGCTTGAGGTCACGAACTGATGGTCGGACATTCTCCTTCAGGATTTTTCACAGCACTGTATCACACAGCTGCTGTCATAACCCCATATCTATGTTGAATTTGACAGACAATGTGGTGGAAATAAAATCATCTGTAGATTTTATCAACAAAAAATATTGTGAATTTGGTGTCATTAAAACACAAGAGCCCATACTATAGGACAGAACAGAGGTTTATCAGCTGTGGACCACTGAACTATTTTTTAAACCATCCTTCCCAAATGACTATTTTATAGCCTACTCTTTTATTGATGGCACTGAAACCTGTTTTAACATTTGGTCCCTCTACTGCCAAGTGTGAAAACTCATTTTCAACTTTGAAGAACGTTTTCACGGACCACAGACATGCCTGAAAGGCCCTGCTCATATAGCTGGCCTTTCAAGAGGATCTAACATGCAAGTGTCGCAATGAGAGGAAGGAAACAATCATGAAGTTATTCAACAGTGCCATCTTGCAACACTGTAGCAAGGGCAAGAGTTTTTACTAAAGTGGCAGGTGCCTGTGTGTAATACTGTGTTATGTGAGGTACCACATGTGTTTGTTTCATTGCATAAAGAAGCAGTGGCCCAGTGCAGTTGTTAGTTATTGTGAGATTCATTGGTATTGTAAGATCACACTCCCTCCCTGTGAAAACCTGCCCCCTGTTTAATCTGTCCAGGCACTGACTCTGCTACTGGGCCAATTTTAAACCAAGTAGGTTTCAGCTCTAGCTTACAGACTGCATCAGTGATGAAGATACAGTTTCCACAGAAGCCCAAGAAAGAAAAACAACTTTTCCATGATTCTCCATAACTAGAGTGTTTCTGCTGTGTTCACTCTGGTTGGGCTTTTGTACATGTTGGAATAAAGAGAAAAAACACAAACACAATAAAATACTCACTCACCAGTATGATTATACACCACATCCGTAATACAGAGCATGTTCCATTCTTTCCTGAACTTCTCCACCAGCGCCCCCACCTCTACCCAGGTGTAGTTCCGTCCCTCTGGACTAAACTCAGGGCTGAAGGCCAGCTGGTCAGCTAAAGAGTAACAGGACCTGGACTTTCCTAGAGTCTGCAGAGGAGTGAAGTGTACCATGGTGTACCCTAGAAGGGGACAGCGCCAATGAAACTGTTACTGAAACACACTTACAATATACAGCATGATTGTGACAGGTGAGTTTCAATTACAAAATAAAGGAGCATCAGATGCTTGAAATACAACTATTTCTGATCATTTTTAAAAGGTGTCAATAATTCTGTCCAGCCCATTTTTGGAGTTCTGTGTGGAATGTATCAGAGTTGGCTTTTTTATGCTTTTTTCTCTACTGCTGTTCCTGATTCTCTTCAGTGCTGCTTTGCCCTGTTTTTAGGTGCCTTTGATTTGCTTATTTGTGCTGTGTAAAATGTAACGTTCTGATGACGCAACTTTTATAATTCATGTGCGTATCGGTCCTAATGCTTTGTTGCCTTTATGTAACTTTTTATTTTAAGACTAAGTGTTCTGTGTTGCACTGCGCGGAGTGGCAGCAAGTTACAGCAGCTGTGTCCTCGTTGTGTTCTTTGATTTGATTTGATTTATTCTTTCAAGCATGTAAAGACAGTTGATATGACAACACACATAATCCAATATCAATTTGCTTATACCTAGTACATGCTTGAATGGAGTAGGAAGAAGTCAGACTTATCCACAATTGAAACAAAATAAATAAACAAAGAAGAATTTGTGGCTGCAACAGTTTTCTGGGAGAAGTGGTGTGGTATCTGACAGAAATGCAGGGGTGCCAATATTTCTGGCCATGACTGTAAAAATGGACAATGAGTCACCTCTTCCTGCCACTATGCAAAAGCTCACAAATATGGGGGTGACCATCCGTCTTTTGTGACAGTGTGCAGCCAGAACCTGCACAGTAGTGGTGGAGCTGTGGCCAAATTATTTGAAATACACACCTTATTACATCATCAAATAATTATTAAAAGCTAAATTATCAGAAAAATGACCACTTGTACACAAATCAGTGTGGTAATATCTACCTAAAATGAAAGAAATTTATTTGAACTTTCAATTTTTATTTTGGTTCACGCCACCCCCACGACATAGCGGGGGCGGGATTTATGACCTGTACCGCAACCAGCCACCAGGGGACAACTTATGGTGGCTTCACTTTTGGGAGCTGTCATGGTCATCCATACAGTTAACAGCTACATCTTAAGTCTCTTTAGCCACGTCACCCACCTGACTCCTTGGCTACTCTTAGTCTATCTGGCCAGTCATCCAAGTGTCCCAGACATTTGGCCAGGTAGGTCTGGATTGTGATGCAATCTAACGGCAGGACATGGTTGTCTGCTCCAACACGAAGAACAGGGTCAACCACAATGTATCCACCTCCTGACCGTTCTGTCTCTCTGCAAGAAACAAAAGGAGGTGAGCAAAAATACATAATAGATAATGCAATAGAAAAACAATGGAAGCAGTTGGGCTGAAAGTGTGCCGTTACCCTTTAGGAACTAGTATCTGGAATAAACAAGGTTTCTTTGGAACAATATTGTGAAGACCAATGCAAAGCAGAAAAGAATGCCACCTACAAAAACGTTATTAAATAAATGCATACAGCCCAAATCAAAAATCTTTTTCCCACAAGTATATTGCAGTCAAGTACTGGTCAAATGTATTAGGATGGACTTTCCACATGCCAAAAGATTAACAAATATAAATTCATTTGTTTTTTGTATTATGGTATTTAGTTTTGAGTTGATTCAGAACTGAATAGGAATGAAACAGTTACTAGTTTCACAGTAAACCATGGTTAAAAACAAAACAAAACAGTTAACACAGTTTAAATTCCAATTGTCACTGAAACTCCCCTGCTGAAGGGTTAACTAATGTCCAATATCAGCCAAAGCAACAGTCAGGCAGAGCAGGGACAGCATGCAACCTGTGCCTGTTTTGTGTCAAAACATGGTGCAAGGAGGTAGTGACAGCACTCTGGATCATTTTCAGCCTTCTAAGAGGACTAAGTCTGAAATGTGGTCGTATTTTTGCCTTTAGAAAAGAGAGACGGTCCACCCTGTCTGCAGAATATGCAGAAAGAAAACCACTGCAACAAGGGGCAACACTTTATACCAAATGCCAAGTAAGCGAACTTTTAGCTCCAGGCAAGGTGTCGAGACTTCAGAGTGTGGGGGGGAAAGCTCACTGTTTGTCTGGCTAACTTGCTAATAGCTTGTCAATAATGTAAACTGAGGATTTCAGTGTTAGCTACCTCCTTAAATACACATTGCTCTGCTGCTGTATGTGTCGTGTATTTGCAGACTCTAATCATCCATTGCACTTGATAACATTATGTAGTTGAGTTGCCCAAACATCTTACGTTCATTTAAAATCTGACACTCGTCAACTTGGATGCAGAACTGTTCCAATAGGAGCAACCCTATGTTCCTCTGTGCTTATGTCAGTTGTTGGGTTTACTGCAGTTTCTATCAGTCTTCTTAAGAGTCAGACTGTTTGTGTGAGAGAGTAATAATAATACTGTTATTCCCTTGTTTACAGAGTGGGTAATGCTACTGGTCCCTTCTCATCAAGTGCATAGTGCTGCTAATTTTATTTGTGGTTTTCAATATAATGCTACAAATTAATGATATCAGTTTGTGCATCAGTATTCTCAGAACATTTTCAGCATATCTTAAAAAAACTGTGAAAATAGGGGGGATGTGACAGTGGTGCGGTGGGTAGAGCAGCCGCCTCCCAACAGCAGGGTTGAAGGTTCGAATCTCGGTGCCTACAGTCCACATGTCAAAGTGTCCTTGTGCAAGACACTGAACCCCCGTTGCCCGTGATGGCGGCAAGAAGCGGCCCGGGGCCCTCGGTTCTAACCACTTCGATGTATGTGATACAATATATAAAAGCTTCTTCTATAATATTGATAATCATGATAATTTTGGTCACTATAATCAGAATATTAAAATGTCATACCATTTCAACTCTTGAGCCAAGTCTGGCAAGCACCTTCTTAATTTGGCAAGGAAAACTACATCAGGGCTCCAGACAGCTGGTGATCAGTCGTATTATGAAAGTGAATTTATTTCAGGTGTGTTGGACACACGAGGAATTTGACTCCAGTACAGTGGCTCTCAATGTGTATGTACAATGTTCTTCAGTAAAGCAGAGAGGAGACAAGTAAGCAAGTTAACACCAAGAAAACAAAGAAAGAAAAAATAAAGTACTTATAAATATAGAAATATATATACACAAGGTGCAGCTGACTTTTTTCAAAGGTTGCAACGGGTGCGCCTAAAAAATAGATTACACACAAACAACTGCTCTCACTGTAGAAATGGTGGACAGACATAAAACTCTCCATGATACGGTCACCGCAATGTTTATCTGCAGGTCTGTAACTCACCCGTCTCACAAGTCAGAGACTTCCAATCTATCAAATGTGTCTGTTCACACGCGTCATTCCTGGACTCCTGTTTTATGCTTCAAATTTATTTTTTCCTTTTGAGCATTTGAAGTATAATCACCACAGACAGCAGCTTAAATCAAGCAGATCACCTGTTAGCCTGTTTATGTGTTGGAAATATTTTACTAGAATCTCTACTGATGGATCAGGCTCCTGGTGTCACTGTGAGCTTTCTGGTTTCACTTTCCCCCCCATCCATTTTAGCAAGATGGGGAAATAATAAAACACAAAAACTGCTGATTCCTTGCTGATGAGCCTACATGAGGACTATTTTTGTCTGGCACATTTCTGCTGTCAGTCAGTCTGGAGAAGACCATGCTGTCCTCCTGCTGACAGACAGCTGTTCTGACAATAGATGCTGCACGCAGGTTGGAGTTAGGGCTGGACGATACAGCAAAAAATGTTATCACAATAATTTTTTCATATGATAATAATAATTCCTTTTATTGGCCAAGTATGTTACTCACATAAGGAATTTGTCTTTGGTACAGAACCGAGGCAGCCATTTGCAGCACCAACTCACACACACCAATGGCAGCGCTGTTATGGCCATTGGGAGCAACTTGGGGTTCAGTGTCTTGCCCAAGGACACTTCGACATGTGGACTGGGGAGAACAGGAATCGAACTACCAACCGTCCAGCTGGGGGTGACCACTCTACCGCCTGAGCTACAGCCATGCCATATCAGTTTAACAATAATTAGTGCTATTTTAATGAGCTATTTATTAAAAGGCTATTTTTTTAAATAAATAACCAGAGAAAAAGGTTTAATTAAACCACTTTATTTTTTTTTTATCAAGGCACACGAGGATGGGGAGATACTCCCCTTAGATAAAAATACATACGGATAAGTAACAATCTCACCTTTATTCACATTAAATAAAGAAAGCAAGTAAAATTAACTGGTGTGCTAACCTAACATCAGTAAGATGCAATAAATATTAGAAATGTAAACTCTCTCAAATTCAGCTTTGAGATATGTTAGGCTAAGAGCTGTGAGATGTAACAAGCTGTATAATAAAAATTTCTCAAACTAGGTAAACAAAAGATAAAATGTAAACTAAGGCACTGAAGGGGAGCGGAAGAAGGACCTGGACAACATGCTGCATGCTCCAGTGGATGGAAGTGGCTGAGATGATAAAACAGAGTTGTCGTATTAGCGGTTTGGTCGTAACTGTTCCCCTACAGCTGTGCTATCATCTTGGTCAGACTTGTGGGGGACACTTCCATACTGCTGAGCTGACCTGTTCATTTTTATTGACAATTTATTCACATTCTCTGCTCATCTTCTCCCTCATGTTCTATGCTGTTTCTGTTGTTGTGTTGCATGTTGAGGGGGCGACCAAACTACACCTGACTGACTGTTTGCACATCACTTGTGGCATGCTGAATTATCAAGGGCTATGGTTGGCTGTTTATGAGCTAGGGAGAGCGCATGCTTGGGGCTTGTTCATGTAATGCTAATCACTGTTGTGCGGTCTTCACGCATTGCTTTTAACCAGCCCTCCTAAGAAAAAAATTCTTATCGTTATTGAGAAGGTGCCTTGCAAAAGTATTCATACCCCTTGAATTTTTCCACATTTTGTCACATTACAATGACAACAATGTATGACTAGCTGCCTTTTCTAGCATTGGTTTGATTATGTAAAGAACAACCAGATATACTGACTTAAGTTCTGTTAGGCCATCTTATTTACAAAAAATATGAAGTCACTGGTTTTTGGAGACCACACGATCTATATCCTTAGACAAAACGATACATACTGTGGCGTTATGTCGTGATATATTGTATATCCCTTATATCATTCACAGATGAGTATATGTTGAATTTAGTTTCAACAAAATTTAAGTGCTAGTCATAGTAGAGACTTCCAGGCACTTTTCATAAAGATAAAAAACCTATTTAAAAGAAGAAGCAGATTTTTTTAATGTAGTGGTACTTGGCTTTAAGACAAAAACTGACCTTTGCTTTATTTTACCTTCAAAACACTGCCTCTCATGAGGGTAATATGATGCTATCATATGAATGTACATTATCAAATGTGGGACATAGTCTGTAATCCACTGTCAGGAGGGTCTTACCCAGAGTCAAAGTAGTACTGATAGGACCCAGCTATCTTAAGGTCCAAAGAGCAGAACTTATCAGAGTCATCCTCGCTTCCTGTTGGGAAGTTCCACGGCAAAACATGGAATTTGTTTCGTTCAAACCGCTGTCCTTCAAGTGGGTAGTTGGTGTGCACTGTGACCTTCCTGCCCTGAAGACTCGGACCCAGGCGGAACTGCAGTTCAAAACCTGAGGAGACGGAAATGTTTTAACCACCACTTATACAAAGTCCATGTTTTTTGTTTGTTTGCTTTTTATGGTCCAGATATGGCTTTTTTCTTTTACAGTGAAAACATAGAAGGCTACATTTATCATGAGTTCAGTTCATTCAATGAGACAGAGGCAAGGTGTGGTGGTGTATGAGAGTTGTGTGGTTGTGTGAGAATGTGCTGTAAATGTAAACAGAAAGCCTAACAAATTCCAAAAAACAAAACAAAGGGAAAACCCTGACCATTAAAATAATAATAATAATAATAATCATAATGGGAGGGGAGTAGTTGCAATTTGCAACACATCACATAATGGAAAACTATTTTCACTTTACCATTACCACAAGCCTCAACGTGTTTGAAAAGGTTCACTCCCTTTGTGCACCAGTGCCGAGATGTTCAAACCTATTAACTCACTGTTTGTTTGTTTGTTCCCTCAGGCACATTCTGCAGTGTCATTACTGCTCATTTACAGCAAGACAACCACATCTTAGGCACACTTACCAAGGCTCAGCTCTGCTGTTTTCAAATATACAAAAGAATACCAGTGTGTGCACACACATACAATGAGTTATAGTGAGATCAGCCAATAACTCCCGGTCCTCCAGAGTCTGGACCATGACAGGTTTGTCTATATATAGTCCAGTTTAAAGTGGAGTCATAAAATCCCCATCAGGTTTAGAGTGTTAGAGTGACTGTAAATGTCAAGTGGTACACTTCTCTCTTCAACACAACTAGCTGCTCCTTCTTCAGCCAACACAAACACACACCATTTCTGAAAAGGAATCACTGCTTTCTGTTCATATTGAACTTATGCCCTACAGCTTTAAAGCAGGATTGTTCAAATTCAGCAGTGGCGCAGTAGTTAGCACTGTCACCTCACAAGAGATTTTTGGGTTTGAGCCCCAGCTGACCTGGGGCCTTTTTGTGCGGAATCTGCATGTTCTCCCTGTGCTTGCATGCGTTCTCTCCGGGTACTGTGGCTTCCTCCCACAGTCCAAAGACAATCAGGTTAGGCTGATTGGTGACTCCAACTTGCCCATAGGAGTGAGTGTGAGTGTTTGCGGTTGTCTGTCTACATCTCAGCCCTGTGATAAACTGGCGACCAGTCCAGGGTGGACCCTGCCTCTCACCCAGTGTCAGCTGGAAGTGGCTCCAGCCCCCCTGCGACCCTATTCAGGAATAAGCGGTTTAGATAACAAATGGATGGATGCTCAACCTCTTTCATGTCACCCAAACAGACCAGCGTTAAGATGCATACAGCCTATTTATTCAAATGTATTCTAACTCACACATATAGAGAGGATGTTTTTGTTGGGTTTCTACTGAATTGTACAACTGTCTACATGGGGTATCTGCAAGTTTCAGAAAACCAAGTTTGAGGCCTCCAGTTTGATTGTGGTGGTGTTCGTTGTATGAAAACCCAAATGTAAAGTGTGAGGCTGCTACTAATACAAACGTCAGTCTATGAAAACAGACAAGCTTGGAAGCTAAGGGCTGAGACTAGTGCTCTTCTTCAGGTAGCAGATTCTATATGTAATGGTGCACTTTTTAGATTAGATTAAACTTTACTGTCATTACCCATGTACAAGTACAAGGCAACAAACACAGTTTAGCATCTAACCACGACTGTATTTCGTTCTGTATGTGACGGTGCACTTTTACTAGACCAGTAACTGTATTGTGTTTACTCAATGTTGGTACAGACTTGCACAGTTTACTTACTAGAGCAATGTGCCAAATTAAACCCTGCTTTAAACACTGTGAGAAACCTGCATCTCTGCATTACTGTCAAGAAAGCATTTTTGAATGTTTATGAATCCCTCTCTTTTTGGTGCATCCTGAACTCAGGTGTATAAATTTATCCAATCAAATGTGATCTGGTACCAACTAAACCCATACATAACATTAAATTGACCACCTTAGACTGGTAATGGGTCATAGCCGGTAGCAGAGCAATATCCTGGATCAGTGGTGTGTGTTTGGCAGCAAAACTGCAGTCTAATTGATTCATTTAACCTTCATCCTGTGTCTTCTGATCTAACAATAAGAGGTGCAGGTGGAGGCTGACTTTTCTCCACAAGACTGAAACAAAGTCATGGGCCACTTCTGAGGGACCCAGTCAATCCCTTAAACAATTTGATCTAATCCAGAAATAATCAAATACCCACACATTCCCTTCCTAACTTCCATATCATTAAGCAGACTAGGAAGGTGATCGCCCTCATGCCTGGCCCTTGAAAGCTTGAGACATTCATTTAAATCACTAAAAAGAAATTCTTTTGACCGACAACATTTCTACCGCCATCACTAACTGAATGGAGGTCATCATTGATTCCCAATGTACCGGTCCCATGACCTGATCCTAACCTAATCCTACGTGTATTCTGTATGTCCCATATTTTACTTAGCAACAATATGTGATAATATATGTATTTACTTACTAAACATTATGGTGGTGGCTGAAGAGTGGGTCAACATCTTACAATTTCACAGGTAAAATTCAAATAAAATGCTACAGTATTCTAGAGTATTGCAGAAGGTATCGTGTCTTCATTTTTAGAGATGAAACTGAATTCAACCTTTCACACTTAAAATAGTAACTAATGGTTGTTACAACCTAACAAATATCAAGTAAATATCCATGTTGACTGCTGCAGCAGAATCCTCGTCTATAAAACTGCACTTTATATAAAGCAAAGGATAAAACAGCTGCTAGCAATCATATCATTTCATCTCTACCAAGTTTGAGCATTCAATCATCTACTCAAGTGGCAGACAGTTGTGTAAGAAAGCATTACCTTGTTCAAGCCTGAACAGAGTCCTCTCTAAATTTTCCTTTTCGTTAAGCATTAGAACTCTGATTTGCTTCACGTGCTGAGGTAACATGTTAAGAAGGTCCTTTCAAAGAAAACTGTTCCCTGGTCTCCTGTAAAAAGGAAACATAGGTTTATAACCACTTACTTACATAAACACAAACCACTTTCCAAAATCTAAAACAGATTTTCTTTTCTGGCATATTACATCCATCAATGACAAGGGCATGCTTTCTGGGAATTCAGTGCAATTCACTACCACACTGTGATACATGCATGCATGCATACATAAATAAATAATTTGAAGGTGAAAGATCCAAAAGGTTATTGTGCACTAGGTCTTAGTGACAGTCATATAAGGTTTAAATCTCTGTAGACCGAAATGAAGCAAGAAATCTGATCCACTGTCAATTATAGTGAATAACTATGCACCAACATTCGAGGCATGTTCAGTAGGCCTCAGATAAATCCCAACTTTGATAAATAGTTTATTGTTGACTGAGGTGTGTATTATGCTTTTTCTTCCCTGTGGGTCCAGTACTGAGCTACCAAGACAAAACTGCATTTGGTTATGAAAACAACTGGGGGCATTTTGGGGATTTCAGGAACTGTTTGAGTTATTTAGGCAAAGCAGTATATGTTTACTTTCACCATCAATCCAACAGGTGACAAACAAAAAACACACACCTAAAAATAAGTAGAGAAATATAACAAAATGCAGACACTTGTATACAGGTCACAGGGCTCAGTGAATGGTCTGATAAAGACATGGCATCATGTACCAGATCTCAGCCCCGCTGAACACCTATGGGAGATGTTGGAGCAACGTGTTATACAGCGTCTCCACCACCATCACCTAAACACCAGAATGGTGTTCATCCCTCCAGATTCAGAAATTTGGAGAATCAGTGCCAAGGAGCACAGCAGTTTATTTCTGTTGACCTCTGATTTCCATGAATTTACCCCCAAAGTGAGAAACTGCATAGATGCTACACATGCATTAGTCAAAAACAAAAATCTAATTTAACAAGTCAATGGGTGTAAAAGTGCAGGAATTCATGACAGCATATCACAGACACAAAAGGCACTGGTCAAAGTGAGCATTCACAAGTTAAAACTTCACAATAGGTGCATGACAGAGTTAAAGACAACTTACGATTATAAGGTTGGCAAATATGACTACGTGGCAGAGAAGGGTTAAGTGATAAACAAGAGTTAAATGATGAACAATGGAACAATGGTTCTTAGGTATGAAAACTGACTGAGATATGCATTGTACAAACTTGTACACACAGCATGTTTTTTTCACAGTATGAGGAAGTTAGCAGTAACACATTGTATACCATAAAGTACCTAATTTCAAAATGACATTAGCTGCTGATAATCAAGTCAGGTCATGTTTATTTAGAAAACAATGTAAACACGGTTTACATTAGCTGAAGTCAGGTCATGTTTATTTAGAAAACACCTTTCAACACACCATGGCAACGTGCCTCACATCAACACCAAAATCATTACAATAAAATAAAGATGACAACAGAGAGCAATAAAACAGTAAGTACATCACACACAACTTATACACATTAATAAAGCAACACATGCACACAGACATATACAACAACCAATATGTTAAGAACAGGATTAGCCACAAGCCTTAATAAAAAAGGTTCAAACCACTTCTGAAAGGAGGAGACAGTGGTAACTGATCTCAGGTGATTTGGCCATGACACCAACAAAAGGTTAAAGTTAATTCTGTATTTTACAGGGAGCCAGTGAAGAGATTTAAGAATTGCAGTGATGGGAGCTGCTGCCTTGAAGTTGTCCATTTTGGTAGCCCAGCATAGAGAGCATTACAGTTGTCCAGCCTGCTAAAGATGAAGCATGGGCTGCTAAAACCAATTTCAGACAGCTGGTGATCTAGCCTTTGCAGCCTTCCTGAAGCATGGGCTGGAGCTCTGAAACCTTTCAAATGTACACTTTTGACTGGACCTGTGATAGACCGGAGGCCTGTCCAAGGTGAACCCTAACCCTTCCCCAGTGTCAGCTGGGATCAGATCAAGCCCCACCCCCACCCTCCCTTACTGGACACAATATAACTGGGATAAATGCAAACTAATCTAGAAACTGACTGGCATTTGACAGTAAATGTTAAACATCTGGCATGACTGCAGGAATCCCTGAAGACTAAAAATATATGGCATGGCCTCTGATGTGATATACAGTATGTCAGGTGACTGATCCATAATGACACGTGGAAAAACATGTATTTAATCAACCACTACGTGGAAAAACATGTATTTAATCAACCACTGTACTAATTAAAACTTATTAAGTACAACAGTTATTAAATGCAATTTTGAGGAATTTTCCATTTTCCACTTCCTTATATTTACAAATACACTACTACAAATATTTTACTTTATATTGTGTTAAAACATGACGCCGTGCTATGGATTAATCTACCCAGTAGTACATAAAGTAATAAGTGTCAATTCCACATCGACCAACTACAAAATCAGAATGTTGCTTACTTGCACTTTGCAAGTGAACATGAATCCAATAATGATAACAAATATAACATTTTATATTTTCATGATTTAGAATCACGCTGCATATAATACAGTACAAATAGATTCTGGGTTGCACCCTCATGAGCCACTGAAGGTCCTGGACAGTGTGTTTGAGCTATAGTGTAGTCCGGACCTACACACGTGACCAAATCATGCAGTTAAAGCTTTGGGTTCAGTTCTGTGATCATCAGGGCAGGTCAACGCATCCAGAGTCACTGTCTCCTTATTGGTCCGTGGTCACTGAACCCCACTGAACCCTAGCTCTGAGTCTGCGCAGTGCTTCAGTCAGAACAGGACAAGGTCAGGAATCCGGCGTTAATGTCACACTATCTATTTATAAAACTCGTCCCGCTACTGATAAGTTTGCTTGGCACACCGGGTCCATACCGACCCACGGTGCCGTGCAGTCACATAAAGATCACGGTAGATTATGACTCGCCACGGTCATGCAGGACATGCAAAGCGACCGTGACATTTGTGGTGGATTCCAAAGTCGATTTTAAAGAATGGCTGTTAAAAACGTAATGGTTATGTACATGTGTCGTCTCAAAACAACGGAGAATGTATTTTGGCATTGCAGAGAACAAAGCTGCATTACCAAGCGCAACATGCAGAGCGTCACGTCAAGACTGTAACAGTTAGCTAAACCTATGTCTGCAAGCTAGCGTAACGTTAGCTAACCTAGTCATTTGTATTCTGACCTGCCAGCCACTAGCTGGGGGGTAAAACTCGCACAGGCTTAATCAGACTTGATAATGTTACACGACAATGCAAAACCGTGTTTACATGCTAATTCTCATTCACCTGCCACTTGTGCCTTGGACTCGTCACAGCAACAGGAGAACAGTTTCCAGTGTGTTTTTCCTGGATGGACAGAAGCTAAAACGCTGAATCGAGGGGGCGTGTCCGCAGGCGGGACTGTTGCCGTAATGGTTGGAATACAGTGGAACAGCTTCGCTCTTTCGAACCTAGTTTATTCAAGTGACAAAGATTAATGCTAGTATGGTGTAAATATTAGGTTCATCATACGCTTTCTCTTGCATTATTTATGAGAATTTCAGTTGTCTTTGCCGAATTTGTGAACTATGTTGTTTGTTTTGTTTTTACTTTCTTGACGCCCTCAATCATGTAGCTTCTATGCTCTCAAAAGCAAACCCATATTTCTGACACAGACATATTCAACACAGCTTAGTTCTAAATGGATGCCGTTGTGTTTTCTTTCTCACGAAGAATATTCACTTGCATAATTTCTGTTGCGCACTTTATAAGATTTACCAGACACGTACACACGTACATACTAGTGCGTTACGTAAGATGGCACTGCAGTGCAGGTGCTGGTCAGACAGAGAACAGTACACCAGGCCCAAACTGCAATAGTAAGACACTGAACAGTACCAGCATTATATCATCCACTGACATAGATGAGTGTTATAAAAATTCTGTTATTAGACATGATTTTACTATTTAATGTGTTTTAAACTTTCAGAACAGTCATGTGAGAAACTGACTGTGTATAGGCCTGAAGGATGTTTTCTATCTTTCATGTGAAACTCTGTGTACTGTGATGTAATCCACTACAGACTGCTCCAGACGAAGAGAGACCCAACCGTCAACTAAGCATGTGTCCCAGTATGATTAGCGTCTGAGTCGTGTTATCAGGGTGCGCCTGTTCACTATATATTATGTTGTATGAATCTCACTCAGACAACTCTGTATGCTCATGATGACTTGTCTCCTTGCTGCAAGTAAACTAATTACTTAAAAAGATTCCACTGACTTTGTTGCCTCAAAAAATTCCTTTGACATCTTGGTCTTTCGAGCCGGATCCCAAACATCCTCTCCCTCGCCCAGGTTTGGACCTGATACCGTGCACGGGCTGAAGTTCGAGTCCTCTCTTAAGAAAAACATCGGTCGCGTTCTCTATACTGGAACGTTATGACTAACGTGAGGCCAGGATCTGCTGGGCGAGTGGAAGGTGATGGGATTCTGATGACAAGCACAACTTCACTGGAATAGGTAAGAGAAAACTGTATGAATGGATAATAATGAAAACGGTATGAATGGATACTGACAAGGTGTAATCCTCCCTATTTTTGAGAAAATAGGAGACGGGTGGTTGGACCGTATAGTCCATAGCCTACAGTGGTGTGAAAAAGTGTTTGCCCCCTTACTGATTTCTTATCTTTTTGCATGTTTGTCACACTGTAATGTTTCAGATCGTCAAACAAATTTATATATTAGTCAAAGATAACACAAGTAAACACATCATGCAGTTTTTAAATGAAGGTTTTTATTATTAAGGGAAAACAAAATCCAAAACTATATAGCCCTGTGTGAACAAGTGTTGGCCCCCCTGTCAGAACACTGGTTTATCGCCCCTGAGTTCAATTTCTCTAGCCACACCCAGGCCTGATTACTGCCACACCTGTTCGCAATCAAGAAATCACTTAAATAGGACCTGCCTGACAAAGTGAAGTAGACCAAAAGATCCTCAAAAGCTAGACATCATGCCGAGATCCAAAGAAATTCAAAAACAAATGAGAAAGACAATAATGGAGCTCTATCAGTCCGGAAAAGGTTATAAAGCCATTTCTAAAGCTTTGGGACTGCAGCGAACCACAGTGAGAGCCATTATCCACAAATGGCGAAAACATGGAACAGTGGAGAACCTTCCCAGGAGTGGCCGGCCGACCAAAATTACCCCAAGAGCGCAGCGACAACTCATCCAAGAGGTCACAAAAGACCCCACAACAACATCCAAAGAACTGCAGGCCTCACTTGCCTCAGTTAAGGTGAGTGTTCATGACCCCACCATAAGAAAGAGACTGGGCAAAAATGGTTTGCATGGCAGAGTTCCAAGACGAAAACCACTGCTGAGCAAAAAGAACATAAAGGCTCGTCTCAGTTTTGCCAGAAAACATCTTGATGATCCCCAAGACTTTTGGGATAATACTCTGTGGACAGACGAGACAAAAGTTGAACTTTTTGGAAGGTGTGTGTCCCATTATGTGTGGCGTAAAAGTAACACCGCATTTCAGAAAAAGAACATCATACCAACAGTAAAATATGGTGGTGGTAGTGTGATGGTCTGGGGCTGTTTTGCTGCTTCAGGCCCTGGAAGACTTGCTGTGATAAATGGAACCATGAATTCTGCTGTGTACCAAAATATCCTGAAGGAGAATGTCCGGCCATCCGTTTGTGACCTCAAGCTGAAGCGAACTTGGGTTCTGCAGCAGGACAATGATCCAAAGCACACCAGCAAGTCCACTTCTGAATGGCTGAAGAAAAACAAAATGAAGACTTTGGAGTGGCCTAGTCAAAGTCCTGACCTGAATCCAATTGAGATGCTGTGGCATGACCTTAAAAAGGCAGGGGAAAGAAAATCAAACTGCTTCACCCCTCGTGCTACAAAGAGTGACAGGAATGCAAAATAGGGGAAGGCAATGGTGGGGAAGTTGGGCTATAAAAAAATGCAGATAATAACAGCCCATATGAACAACAACTGTAAAACGCCTTCCTAAAAGGCTGTCTGCCCCAAATCAGCACATCTCTCCACAACTAAACACATGAACGACCACCGCACTGCTCGCCTCACAAATACACTAGATTATGCCAGACATGCTGAGTGGCACTTCGAATCAAAATTATTAACAAAATCATGGTTATGAGGAAGCAAATAGTTAAAAGAGGTAGAAAATAGGAGAAGCAGGAAGGGAAAATGTATTACTTAGGGACAAACATTAAAAATTCTTTTGACAGAGGAGCAAAAATTAAGATAATAATAAACTTTATTTATATATCTCTTTACAAGTCTGAAGAGCACAAAGTGCTGCACAGTGGGACATGCAACTAAAAAATACTAAAACAATCAATCCAAAAACACAGGTTTATAAAATCCTAGCAATAAAAAGTTTCATCAAAATAAAATAGTATAAAACAACAAGTTAAACCATGTCCCTTTGGGGCAGATAAAATGGATTTTTTATTTTATTTCATTTATTGTTGTTTTTACACAACCTTGTCTAAAAATAAATGGGGAAGACATTGAGACATAAGAAATGTGACTGTACGTTAAACATTTCTCCAAGGCCAGACCCTTGTTATGGGAAACTGCACTGAGAGCTGCCTACAGCTGACAAACTTGGCATCTTTCATGCACACTCTTATCACAACCTCTCACAGGAGGGAAACATCTAGATGAGAACAGGAGAACGGCTATCTTACAAACACCCAAACCACAAACTAAAAGACAAATGATGTCATTCTTAGGTATGATACATTTTTGTAGGAGCTGGATTTCCAACTATGCAGCTGTCACAGCTCCATTAATGGTACTGATCTATGACGTTCCGTTAGCAGCAGCAGATCAGATGACCTGGACAGAGGAAGCAGAAAAAGCTTTCACACAGATTAAACAACTACTAGTAAAACTCTGCCACGCTAGGATTTCCATACTATGCTAACCTTTTTGTTCAAAACGTAGACTGTAAGGGGGGATATGTGATGTCAGTTTTAATGCAGACTTATGGGGGAAAGAATAAATCCACAGCCTATTATTCAAGTCGATTGGACGCTGTAGCTAGAGCCCTGCCACCTTATGTGCAGGCTGTCGTAGCCGCATCTATGGCAGTACAAGCATCAGCCTCCATTGTACCGTTTCATCCTCTACCCCACCAAGCGCCCCCCACACTGGCAGGTTGCAAGATAACATCTCCTATTTGTCACCAACCAGACATCTCTCATGCATGACTGTGTTGCTGTCACAACCACACCTAACCACTGAAAGATGCACACCATTAAACCCAGCCACACTCATACCCACAGCATCAGATGGGACACCTCATGACAACTTATCAGAAATAACACAGAAAGTTCTCACTAGGCTGTATTTAACTGATGTACCCTATGACAATGCAGACATAACTATGTTTGTAGATGGGTCAAGTAAGAAAAACCCAGATGAAACAAGTGCACCAGGGTTTGCTGTAGTAACACGTGACACCGTACTGACAGCAAAACCCCTCCCAAAACACTACTCTGCCCAGGCAGCAGAGTTAGTGGCGTTAACAGGGGCGTGTAAATTAGCTGAAGGGAAAATAGCCAATATTTGCCCCGATAGTCAATATGTGTTTCAACAGTGCATGTTTTTGTGCAACAGTGGAAAAATCGAGGCATGATGACTTCAACAGGGAAACTAATTAACCACAGAGATCTCATTTTAAATCTCTTAGATCCTAAGAGTTACCCAAAAAGGTATCCATTTGCAAGTGTGCAGCACACACTAAGAGGACAGATCACTAGGAAATAAAAAAGCTGATGAGGAAGATAAGAAAGCATCACAAACAGACATTCTTGTAGACAACCCATCTCGAATAGACCAAACTGTTTTAGAAGATATGCAGAAAAGTAGCATCACAAACTGAAATCCAGAAATGGAAGAAAAAGGGAGCAATCCTTAATGAACAAACAGAGCTGTATGAGTGACCAGAAAGAAAACCCATCCTACCAAACAGCCTTTTCAGATATGCTGCAATTAGAGCCATGGACAAAGTCATGTCTCAAAAGGAGGGATGACAGCCATGATAGGCAAAGTGTTCACAGCATATGGATTCACAAACTACTCTAAAAATGTTTGTGCTAACTGTACAATATGTGCTCGCCACAACACAAGAGGGAACTTGAGAACTAAAAGAGGTCAATTTCCAAAACCACAGTTCCCGTTTCAACACATCTGCATGGACTTTATAGAATTAAACAAGTGTGAGGGAAAGAAATTCTGTCTGGTTATAATAGACATGTTTACTAAATGAGTTGAAGCGTTTCCCAAAACTGCTCCAGATGCTCTCACAGTAATAAAGGCACTGGTGAAGGAAATAATTCCCAGATATGGAATACCTGCAAAAGATTCCAGTGGCTTTGTTGCTTCATTAAAAATTCCTTTGACAATGAGGTAAATTAATGTAATCCAAATACATGAAGACATTAACCATTACTTTCTGTAATCATATTACTGTAATATTATTAATAATAATGGATGCTGCTGTGGCTCAGGAGGTAGAATGGTTGCCCACAGCTAGAATTTGGGCTGTTTGAGTCCCATTCTCCACATGTCGAAGTGTCCTTGGGCAAGACACTGAACCCCAAATTGCTCCTGATCACTGCTAGTAGTATTGCTAGCTTTTTTTTTTTTTATTGAAAGATTTCTGTGCAGTGTGCTGATGTTCTGTAACTGATTTGGTCAGAGGGGATTACTGGGATCAAGGCAATTATAAGCAATTATGCATTGCTAAAATGCATTAATTCAATAAAAAGAGGACAGATGACAAAGTCAGAGCCACAGTCAAGCTGTCCAACTGACCATCTCACAATAACACTACTGTAGGATACTGCATAGCGGCATGCACGGAGCAACTAAAGACACTTTCCTGTGAAAAAAGCTTACAGTGGTTTGCAGATTTGTAGAAATTCTGTACATTGATGGAACAGAGGAGAGGAATTAAAACAGTTTAGAGAATAAAGGTATAACAATTCAAATCAATTTTATTTATTTATTTATTTTTCACTTTAAAAACAACATCCAGTTGACCAAAGTACTTTACATAGGCAGAATAAAGTCACAATAAATAACTAAAATAAATAAATAGATTCAGTGTAAAAATAAAACAACACAGACACACAGATGACACATTCAATAAATTATAATTAAATTAATTAATTAAAAGGAATGCATCAGGTCCTGCTGTGCATTAAAAGCCAAGGCAAATATGTTTTAAGCAAGGATTTAAAAGTAGGTCAGTAGCTGATCTAACGTTAAAAGGTAGACTATTCCACAATTTAGGGGCTGCAACAGTAAAAGCATGGTCACCTCAGCATTTATATCTGGCCACAGGAACCTCTAAAACAGGGGTGTCAAACTCAATCGCACAGGGGGCCAAAACTCAAAGCACACTTTAGGTCATGGGCCAAACAGGATAAACATTTATTGAACAGACTAAAACTAAACGTTTTTTGAAAAACCATTAAGAGCCTTAAAAACAAAAATCAATAACTTAAAATCAATTCTAAAACGGACTGGAAGCCAGTTGAGAGAAGCCAGAATTGGGATTAGATGCTCAAACTTTCTGGTACTTGTCAGAAGATGAGCAGAAGCGTTTTGAACCATCTGAAGACGACAGAGGGATAACTGGGTAACACCATAGTATAAAGCATTGCAATAGTCAAGGCGGGAGGTGAAAAGCATGGGTTGCAATCTCAAAATCATTATAAAAAAGAAATGACTTGACTTTACTTAACAACCTGAGGTGGAAGAAGCCAGATTTCACAACTGAGTTGATTTGCTTGTCAAATCTTAAATCGCCATTAAACATCACCCCTAGGTTTTTTTTAATGTCGTCTGCATAACAGTGAAAAGAAATGCCATATTTCCTTAAGACAGATCCCAATGGAAGCATATGAGTCAGGAAGACTGTGAATTAGCAGATTATGATCCATGATATGGTTTGGGTTGAAGTATGAAGTGTAAATCATTAAATAAACCTAGAACAATGTAGGATTCTATTTCATTTTCCAAACTTTGTTGAATTGGTGAAAGATATAATTCTGAATGACCACAAACAACCATGTGAAGGAGAATAACTGATTTCATTCTCGTGCCAGGGTTTGTTACTGATTAATCTGATGAGATATTTAGACTTCCGACAGTATATCTGCTTCTGATAGTGTCAGACATCACGTTCTGTGTTTTACAGCAGGTAGTTGGCAGTTACAATTTATTGGCATCAGTTAAACAATTCTGACTATTGGAGAACCATTTTAATCAGGCCTTTGTTTTATTGTGCAGATGTTTATTGCTGTCAGTTTCCTGCTTACACATACATTCTCTACTTCAGCTATGATAATGCTTTTGACCAGGATATGGCCTTTAAATCACATATAAACCAAATCTTCAGAACCGCCTCCTTTCACCTGTGCAATATCGTCAAAATCAGGAGCATCCTGTCTCAAAGTGCAGTGCAGTGCCAGTTTCTTGCATTTTCACATCTTGGTGGTAGTAAGCTATGTTTACACATACAATCTGCAGCCACCATTGATTGCAAGATTCATTATTGATTAATTGCCATGAAGTCTGGAGAGGTCACCAGTCTATCACAGGGCCTTGACTATTGCAATGCTTTATACTATGGTGTTACCCAGTTATCCCTCTGTCGTCTTCAGATGGTTCAAAACGCTTCTGCTCGTCTTCTGACAAGTACCAGAAAGTTTGAGCATCTAATCCTGATTCTGGCTTCTCTCAACTGGCTTCCAGTCCGTTTTAGAATTGATTTTAAGTTATTGATTTTTGTTTTTAAGGCTCTTAATGGTTTGGCACCATCTTAGAGGTGACCATGCTTTTACTGTTGCAGCCCCTAAATTGTGGAATAGTCTACCTTTTAACGTTAGATCAGCTACTGACCTACTTTTAAATCCTTGCTTAAAACATATTTGCCTTGGCTTTTAATGCACAGCAGGACCTGATGCATTCCTTTTAATTAATTAATTTAATTATAATTTATTGAATGTGTCATCTGTGTGTCTGTGTTGTTTTATTTTTACACTGAATCTATTTATTTATTTTAGTTATTTATTGTGACTTTATTCTGCCTATGTAAAGTACTTTGGTCAACTGGATGTTGTTTTTAAAGTGAAAAATAAATAAATAAATAAAATTGATTTGAATTGTTATACCTTTATTCTCTAAACTGTTTTAATTCCTCTCCTCTGTTCCATCAATGTACAGAATTTCTACAAATCTGCAAACCACTGTAAGCTTTTTTCACAGGAAAGTGTCTTTAGTTGCTCCGTGCATGCCGCTATGCAGTATCCTACAGTAGTGTTATTGTGAGATGGTCAGTTGGACAGCTTGACTGTGGCTCTGACTTTGTCATCTGTCCTCTTTTTATTGAATTAATGCATTTTAGCAATGCAGAATTGCTTATAATTACCTTGATCCCAGTTATCCCCTCTGACCAAATCAGTTACAGTACATCAACACACTGCACAGAAATCTTCTTTATTATAACAGTTGTGATTTGTATTTTATAGAAACTTTGGGATCAATGTTTAAAAAAATTATACATTTTTTAGGTTAACAGACAACTATTGTATTCTGTATGTATACTTTTTCAAATATTGTAAATTCCACTTCTCTAAAAATAGAGAGTACTGTTTATATGCAGTAAATGTAAATGGATGTCTATGTAATAAGGCAATGAAAACGACCTGCCCTGAGGATGTTCCAATAGTCCAGTCATTAGGCTGTAAACCTGCTGTGATATTACCTTGCACTCCACTTTAAAACAGACCCACAGGCAAGGTCACTGGAACAGTGGAAATAGCATTGCACTCACATGCACTAAAGGCAGAAGTTCCCATTGTGCTGCAGCAGAGTGGTGAGTAGTCACTTCAGTGCATGAGTTTTCTTTCTAAGTAGAAAGGTCCTCCAGTGGCCAGGGATTCCTTTAAGGCAAAATGTCAAGGCAAAGTGTGGAGACAGCAGAACAGCCCTCTTTGCACAGGTACTGCAGTGACTAGAATACAATGGAAATCATGTTATTTATGAGAGAGAGAGACAGTTATGAGGGTTATTAACATTGTGAAATATTAGAGAAAAGTTAACTCTATTAGCTGTACATCATGTAGCATACGTCTTAAGACTTTCTGAATTATATTTCCTTTAATAAATATTGCTCAAAACCGTCAGCTATGAAATAGGCTTGTACTTAATTGAACTGTACAGTAAGCAATGATAGATAAGGACTGAAGTTGTAGTGGATGGCTCACAGGTTATTTAACCAAGAAACTGTCTGCAGATACATCTTTGTGGTTGAAGTCAGTCTGTGGTAGAATGAGTGATTTATTTATCCATTCTTTATTTCAGACACCCTGTAACAGATGTCTTCTGTGGGCCTGCGCTGTCTTCTCTTTGTTTCCGTCTCACTGTGGTACTGGGTACCAGCAGGCTGCTATGCCAATGGCAAGGTTACTAAAGCCTGTGGCAACATGGAACCTCGCCATGGTTTCCCTGGTCAAACCACTCTCAGCCCCTATCATCTAGCAACCAACACCACCACGTTCAGCCCCGGAGACCATATCCAAGGTAACTGACAACTGTGGCCTGCATGAAATATTCAAAACCTTCCTGACACAACCCTATGGGACAATTTAGAATTGTCAGTTAACCTAACTTCACTGTGAGGGGAAGCCAGAGAACCTGGAGAATGCAGGCATAAGGAGAACATGCAAACTCAACACAGAAAAGCCCCAGTTGGGATTAGAATCCAAAACCTTCCTTCTTGCTGTGAGGTGACAGTGCTAACCACTGTGCCACCCGATAATGCCCCTTACTCCTGTTCGCAAGTTTACTTTAAGCTTTTAAATATGCACAGCTCCAACAGGAAGAGGTCAGACATCTGGTGTTTTGTATCTGTAATATAAATACAACTGTGGAGTGGTGGTTTACACTGTCACCTCACAGCAAGAAGGCTCCGGGTTCGAGCCCGCGCCTACCCGTTGTCTT